ATGTCTTGTACTAAACATGGCCAAAGTGTTTAATTGCATACATTCAGAAATTCACATGGGGGTACACTTCTTCCATTTTAAATACAAGCCATATATTTTATAAAATCATGTAGTATGGTTGAATACTAAATAAAGTCACTAGATATTGGACCTATCATTAAACTGATTAAGATGCTAATTTAAGGATTAATAACAAAAACTATACTTAAACTGTGATCAGATTGGTCATAAATAAATAATTTTATTAAATTGATCAAGACACCGATTTAATAGTTAGCTAGTTCAATCAGAATGATTGATTTGGATTTTCATATTATATTAAATATAGACACATCTTCTAATAGTAGTGATGATTTAAACATTAATTTATCATATTGAGTAATTAGCTCCTTCTACCGGGTCTAACTCTCATTAATAAAACCCTATATTTTAATACAAGACATTTTATGGAATTTTAAGTGATAACTTTTTACTTAAAGTATTAAGAAATACAATTATTATATAAAAAGATTAAATGTTTTATCAAATTTGTCCTTGATTAAGGTGTAGTACTTTAATGTCTTTAACAGTAAAATAGGGAAAATATAACTAAATAGTGTCTTGGAAGTTTAAAAAACAATACCTCCCCAATCTAAAATATAAGCATTTTATCCAACTAATCTTGATTGAAAAATATAAACAACCTAGTACATATGAAATTTTTTTTTCTTATTTTACCTCTTGTATTTATTAACTTAGATAATCATGTAAAGTTATGCATTATTCATTATGAAGTGCATTAATAATTGAGACTACGGGTAAAAAAGGAAAGAAATATATATTTTTATGAGAATGAAAATTTCATTAGTATGCAAATTTTTTTAAAAAACTGCTTATATTTTAGTCTGGGAGCATGAAGCAGTTTTTTCCTTATGAAAATAAATATTTTGAAATCGAAATAAATAATTAATGAATATTGGTGGCATTAAAGACTGGTAAAGTTGTCTACAAAAAAAGGTGGTAAAATAAAAAAAATTGAAATGTTAACTATCTTATTATTTTTTTAAATTATTTATAAGTATCTTTTTATTAAAAATAATCTCATTTAAGGTACAGTTAGGTATTAAATATAGATATTTCTCTCAATAAAAATTTAAATATTTATTCACTATGTTGTGAAGGATGGGTTCTTTTCATTAAATCCAACTCCCATTGGTTACCTAACTATTTTTTTATTAATATTTGATATATGGAATATTTTAATTTTGAAATTAGAGGTATTTTATTAGCATAATACAATTGTATGACATTAGTGGCAAAAAAAAAAAGTATAACGTTAAAATAGTTAGTAATTAATACTTTTTAAAAAATTAATTTCCTAATTAAACACAAAATATAATTGGCGGGACAAGATTTAATGATAACTTTGCACTAGTTATACTTTTGGAGAGCTATCCCATATAAATTCGACAATATTTAAATCTAATAACTATTTAATCATATGAAAATTATAAAAATAATTTATTTGATAACAGAAATACATTTTCATGTGTTTGAATGTATTCATTTTTGAAAATAAAGAATTATGAAATCTAAATTTTTATCGTACTTTTAAGATTCACTATTTTATTACGTTTGTCATTTTAGGAAATAATTGTTTACATAATTTTAAACTTTCATAATAATATTTAATGAAATTTTTCTGCTTCACATTCAGAGCAATATTCTATTATTGATTATATCTTGTATGGTTTTAGAGATATTAATGCACAGAAATAAATAATAAAAAATTAATAAAACATGTTATATTTTTTATATTCATTAGTTTGTTTAATCTTTGTATAATAATTTTAAACAAAAAATATAATAAAACGGTGGGGCAGTATTTTTTTTCATAATAATATTATATCATTTTAAATAATATTAAATGAAACATATGCCCATATCTAATTTTAAACAAAAAAAACAATCAAAGGGTGGTGGAGTTTTTTTTTCTCAATAATATTAAAGAAAATAGCATCCAAGGATTACTGTGTAAAATTTATATCACATAAAGACTAAATAATTTCATAATTATTCTGTAGTCCTCTAGTCCTTCTTTTATATTAATTTTATAAGCGAAATGATGGAATTGCCCCTCAAATTAAAAAATTTTTAAAAAAAAAGAAAAGAAACCCCCACCACCATTGGTAGCGAGGTTGGCGACATTTTATTTGAGAAATAAACTTTTTAGGTGGCTAATGGAGGATTTGATTCCATTACCCTTGACCACCTAAAAAGCTTGGTTTAGTTAAAATTAACAATATTCTATTATGATTTTAACAAATTAAAAAAATTGATAGTCATTCATCAACAAGTATCAATTTGGTTTTAACAACAACCTGTTTGTAATTGATAATAATACATTAGGATGTTTAATGAGTAAAATGAGTGAAGTTTTAAAGTTTCAATTTGTAATTATTCATATCAGATTAACAAGTAACATTTATAAAATAATAAGTTCCGTTCAAAAATTAACAACATACCATTATGTTATTATATGAAAGTGATTTTATGCTTGATTTACTATTTATATTTTTTTGTTATATATTATTAAAGGGCTTGGGATCCAACAGCCGTTAATCGCATGTGCAAGTGCCTAGTTGAAATCTCGTATGAGATTGACCTACTGAACTCATTCAAGAAGCAAAAATAGTTCAATAAAAAAGAAGTGAAAACGTCATTATAAGAAGATAAGATATGCTTTCCTTTCTTTGGAAGCAACAACAACCAAGATTACTTATAGACCTTCAATCACTAAAGTAAAAAGGAGAAGAAGTTGACTGATTAAGGAGATGCAATATGTCATGGCCTTAAAACTTTCTTGTCCTTAAACCGTGCCAACCTTGGCATGATTAACCTCTTGGTCCTAACTAAATCAGCCGAACCCTCATAATGTAGGCTAAGAAACTTGAACCCAAGAGAGAAGAGAGCTTAAATAAAAGAAGTTGAAAGCTTAGAACTTTACTTGTTTACAAATGAGAGGTGAGGGGGTATTTATAGACTTTTTCCTTATTCCAAAGTTTTCCCACCTCCTTTATGGATGGAGGAGATCAATCCAATCCTATGGTTTATATTCATCCTCTAGAGTGTTCTATAAAAATATCTATAACAAATATTTAGATATTTATAAGAATGTTTCTAGAGAATAACCTTCAAGATATGTGTGAAATATTCTAAAATATTTTAGAATATTCTAGATATCTCCCCATTTTTTTATAAATTTCTAAAACTTTTTAAAAACTTTTAGATCTTTCTAGATTTCTCTAAACAATTTTAAATTGTTCTAGATGCTTCTAGAATAGTCTAGAACATACTAGATTCTTCTTGAAAGTTCTAGAATTCTATCCATTATTTTGGAGGTCTCCAAAACACATAAACCTTATAAGTTCTCCTCTTTCTGGACACAGGTTGTGACAAATAGCTCTACCTCTACAAGTAAATCATGTAAGAATATTAAGAGCTGGCTCAAAGGCTTTCTTGATTGTTATAACTTTGGACCATGGTCAGGCTTATCGAATTAGGGAGAGACGATATTGATTTATCAATTTTAAAAATCTTAAACTTTTTAAGTAGTCAAGGGTCATAGGATCAAACCCTCTCTTAACCACCTAAAAATTTTATTTCTCAAATAAAATGTTGTCGGCGCTAGAGCTCCGGTGATCGACCATCGGTGACCTCGCTGAGGGCTCCAGCTACCTCACCACCGCCGGTGGTCCAATGGCTGGTGATGGTTGGGGTTTCTTTTTTTTCTTTTAATTTTTTAACTTGAAAGGCAATTCTATCATTTCACTAATAAAATTAATATGAAAGAAGGATTAGAGGATTGCAGAGTAATTATGAAATCATTTAATCCTTATGTGATATAAATTTTACACAGTGATCATTGGATGCTATTTTTTCAAATTAATATAAAAGAAGGATAAGAGGACTACAGAACAAATATAAAATTATTTAGTTTTTATGTGTTATAAATTTTACACAATGTTCCTTACATGTTATTTTCCCATAATATTATATCATTTCAATTCTTTGTCAGAATAATATTGAATGAAACATATGCCCACATCCAAATAAGAACCAATCAGATTCTGCCACGTACAAAACCGTTTTCATGTTTAATATATTTATTTGCGTTATCTGGGACCCGTTGTTCGAAAGCAGCCTATCTCCAAGACCAATATCATTCACGAGTGGGGACATCAATGCCCCGCCAACAGCCACTCCTCCCCAAAATCGTGATAAGTATCCGTTTGATTGCCGGGGAAGGGAAAATGACAATAAAAGACTCCAATAAGATCATTCATTCATTATATTATAATAAGAGATTCTGAAATATTAAAATTAAATAATGAATTATAATTCTTATTTAAAATTAAAACTATATGAGTTTAAAATTATTATTATTATTATGAGTTAAGATTATTGTTAGTTTTAGTTAAAAAACTAGGAATCACACATGATAATATATTGTTTTTCAATATCAAATTAAAATTTACTTGCCAAACTTTTAAAAAACATTTGTAAAAATATTGTAGTTACTTAAAAATTTATTAAAACTACTTGTAAATATGAAGCCTTTGAATTTTTATTTTTATTAATATACAAAAGAAATCACTTAAAAAATTAAAAATAAATATTATTAAAATTATTATTATAAGTTGAGACTATTATTAATAAAGAAAATCAAGATATCAAGTTTTAAAGGTGGGAATTATTGTACTATTATAGATTGAGTGTTACTCATAATAATAATTTCAATAATATTTTTAATTTTAAATTCATACATTGTTAATTTTAAATAAATATTATTATTTATTATTAAAATTTTAATAATTTAAGAATAATCTTTTAGAGTCCTTGATTATATTTTTCCTGAAAAAATCTACTTGAAAAAGACAATTAGCAAAAAAAAAAAAAAAGGATGGCTTCATCATCATTTTCCTGTTCAACCCTGGCGTTTTAGGAATCTTTCACCGATAATCACATAACTGTAATGTAACTTGTACTCTTCAGGAAAGAAAAAACGTTTTCCTCAGCTTATCAAGGTGGCAGTGTGATTCTTAACTTTAGCTCAAGGAGGAGGGACACTTTTTCTCCCCAAATTTCTACGAACTTCTAAATAAGAGGGGAAGTGAAAACTGGTTATCTTCCAGAGGCTATCGGGATTGTGCTGCGTTGTAAAGTAGAAAAAAGTTGTTACTATCACTCAGAATGTCTCTAATTCGTCGGAGAAAAGGCGGAGAAGCCGATAAGACTGCCAGTGCGGGGTTGAAGATTCAGAGCGAAAGGAAAGAAGAAAAAGAAGATGATGATAAAAAGAAGGCAGCGGCGAAGCAGAGCAAGAAGGCGGAGAAGAAGAGCAAATGGTCTTGCGTTGACAATTGTTGCTGGTTCATCGGTTGCATTTGTTCTGTGTGGTGGTTATTGCTGTTTCTGTACAAAGCTATGCCAGCTTCGTTCCCTCAGTATGTGACAGAGGCGATAACTGGACCGTTGCCTGATCCACCTGGTCTGAAACTGAAGAAAGAAGGGCTGACGGCAAAGCATCCGGTGATCTTCGTGCCGGGGATCGTCACCGGGGGCCTTGAGCTTTGGGAGGGTCACCAGTGTGCTGAGGGCTTGTTCCGGAAACGATTGTGGGGCGGTACATTTGGAGAAGTCTACAAAAGGTGTGAAGAATTTGTTGTTCTTAATGTTTGGTAATATCTTAATTTGGTGCTCCATTATCTTTTTGCTTGTAGCAGATTTAGGAAGACTTTCGGGCTTTCTTTGGGATAAGGAGAGATTTTGTCTCTTCTTACCATGAACTAATATCTTTGGATTGGTTTGCGACGTCTTTTATTTTCCAAATTAGTTTTTTAACGAATCTTAACGGTGAAACTATATCAAAGTCTGCTGATACTTTTGGGCAAGCCATGTGTCGTTCAGCTTGTTTCTTCAATTTCCGATCACTGGGTTTGCTAACAAGTTGCCGATATTGGTAAAGTCATTATTGAGAAATTGATCTCAAGGGAAACTTGATGCTGACTATTGCCTGAGGTGTTCGAAAGAGTTTGCTTTCAGCAAGTTTGCCTTGTTGAATAACGTACTATTGAGGCATTATTTTCCTGTAAAACTTTTGCCTATGATCTAGAGAAGTTTTCGTGCACTGAAGCTGCTTTCTTTAAAAATCATATGTATCAAGTTGCCCGCTTAGACTTCAAGTACGAGACACAAAAATTCATTATGAAAAACAAAATTTTTAATTTCATTTAAGTCCATCTCGGAGACTTGGATTTGTTCACATGTGCTTAAAGCGTTGGGAGCAAGTTCTGGTTTGAAAAAGTTTTAGTTGCCATTCCATCTCGTTTCTTAAGAGCAAGAGTTGCTCAGCTGTACAATTTTAGATAATATGCTTTTGAATTTTGATTGACATTTCTGTATTCTTTTCAAATGTTTTATTGCTGAACAATTGTTGCTTGGACTTCTACTTTCTTCATACGAGAACAACATAAATTTAGGATGTCATTGTAGCAATATTAAATAAATATTAAATGTATCGACTTTCTTATATTAAATAAAAGATAGCTTTTCAAATGGCAATTCTGGTATAATTTTCCCCCAAAAGAAGTGAGGTTGAAACAACACGTGATCCAGATAAGCACAGATATTACTTTGTTCACTGCAAAAATATTGGTAAAAAAGAGTGCAAATATTTGATCCTTTAGATCAGGGGTATAGGCTTCAGTCTAACTACATATTCATTAAAATCCTTTCTGATATCACTGCCTCTTTTTGTAGGCTTTTTTGGCTGTTTAAAATTTGAGCTCACTTTTCATGCTAGAATTGGATTATCACAGATTTAGAAGGGGGCAAAGATTCATGTCTTGTTCTTTTCTGGATCTTGTGCAGACCTTCATGCTGGGCAGAGCACATGTCACTGGACAACGAGACAGGATTAGATCCACCTGGTATTAGAGTCAGGCCTGTCTCTGGACTTGTGGCTGCTGATTACTTTGCTCCAGGGTATTTCGTTTGGGCTGTCCTAATAGCTAACTTGGCTCGCATTGGTTATGAAGAAAAAACCATGTACATGGCTGCATATGATTGGAGAATATCATTTCAGAACACTGAGGTAGTTCTTCACAATATATCTAGCCAGAGTTATACCTTCATCAAAGAAGTTCAATGATCAGGAACTATTTTCCTTCAATTTCAATCAAGGAAATGATGTTCCTCTAGTTATTAAATTGTAGAAATAATTAAAATTAGCTATAGTTAAAATTGGCGATAATTATTTTCTATTTTCAAATAATTAGAAAGAAGGTTGTTCTGGTTGAGAGACTACAGGTAGTAAATTATTGTAATAAGGAAACTGGAGGGGCAAGAATTATCTTGTAGATAGTACAAGAATAAATTGCTCTACGGAGAAAATTAGACTTATCTTTTTATGACTATAGCCAATTCTTAACTCCTAAAATTTAATTTAATTGATCAGGTGCGAGATCAAACACTAAGTCGGATAAAAAGCAACATAGAACTTATGGTTGCTACTAATGGAGGCAACAAGGCTGTTGTCATCCCACATTCCATGGGTGTGCTTTACTTTCTTCATTTTATGAAGTGGGCTGAAGCACCTGCTCCAATGGGCGGTGGAGGTGGACCAGATTGGTGTGCCAGACATATAAAGGCAGTGATGAACATCGGTGGACCATTTTTGGGTGTTCCGAAGTCCGTGGCTGGGCTTTTCTCTGCTGAAGCCAGGGATATTGCTGTTGCCAGGTATATCAGCTTAACTATTACTAACAATGTTATACTCCACGCTGGCAACATAACATCATTTTCTTGAGGAAAATTGTAATAGTTTAGAAATTTAGAATCATTGCGGAGTGATTTTCTAATATTATTAGTTAACAGATATGGTTCGAGGGAACTCACTTACAAAAACGATTTCATTGTGATATTATATCATACTGCAGGGGAGTTTCATTCAAGTTTCACTGTCTTTTCTTCAATTATTTTTTCCTTCAATGATATACTTTTTTGTGCTTGTCGACTATTCATATACTGATTAAATATAGTTCTTTCTAATGTAACTATTCAGGGCAATTGCACCAGGTTTCTTAGATAATGATCTGTTTCGCTTTCAAACCTTGCAACATGTAATGAAGATGACCCGCACTTGGGATTCAACAATGTCAATGGTACCAAGAGGTGGAGACACTATATGGGGTGGTCTTGACTGGTCACCAGAGGAATGCTATCTCCCTAGCAAGAAAAAGCAAAAACATAACGATACTCAATCGACAAGCCAGGACAATGATAACTCAACAATTTCTCAATCAAAACCTGTCAACTATGGGCGGATCATATCATTTGGCAAGGATGTGGCAGAAGCACCTTCTCTTGAGATAGAGAGGATTGACTTTCGGGTGAGGCTTTATGTTATAAAGAAAACCTTTGGCATAATTTCTGTTTTCTATGAGGTTTTTCTATAAACATATCATTTGGGCAGTTCTTACAGCTTAGCACCTTATGTTTGGTTCTTTGTTGAAAGTTCCTTCACTTGTTTTTATTCGAGTACCTAATAGCAAATACCTAAAGAGCTTTGACTTTGTCTAGTCAGATATTGCTGAAGAAATTTTGTAATCTGTAACAAAAAAAAAAAAAAAGGTTTTCTGAGCATTATGTTAATATTTTTCACTCCTTTTTAGTAGTCATCTTCCAAATTTTTAGCTTGGGAAAGATTGCACCCCATCTTCTACTAAGATTTAGCTGCTCTTGTCTTGGTATGTTGTCTAAGTTCTCTAGGGGGGCTATCATTGCGTCACCACGTAACTACCCTTGCCCACAAAGCACCTGCACTGGTCTGTTTCTAGTATAACTACATTTTTGTTTGATTACGCCTAGAAGGGAGGGCTAATGATCGTTATCTCATATCCTTGTTCCTCAGAACAGTCAATAAGAGTAACCCAAATTTCTCTTTCTGTTTCTTCATAATCTTCTCTTTCAAACGAATCAAAGGCTGATATTCATCTTGTCCATAGAAACTAAGTTCAATCATAGTGTGATATGCTTACTGTTTTGTGTGTCTTAAATCTGTTCAATCTATCTTGACTGTTGTTGATTCTCGAGCTTTAATTATTTGACAGGATGCCATTAAGGGTCAAAATATTGGAAATACCACCTGTCGTGATGTATGGACTGAGTACCACGACATGGGAGTTGAGGGAGTCAGAGCTGTTGCTGAGTATAAAGTTTACACTGCTGGCTCTATTGTAGATCTGCTTAATTTTGTTGCTCCAAAAATGATGGCTCGTGGTAGTTCTCATTTCTCTTATGGAATTGCTGACAATTTGGATGATCCAAAATATGAGCACTACAAATATTGGTCAAACCCCTTGGAGACCAAGTGAGAATTTATGCTTCCTTACTCTTAATTTTCCTGTTTCTTTTAATTCTTGTTATACCCTACTGAATCTGGTTCTCTGGTAGCAGTGCTCCTGTAGTCCTCTTCTATTGCATGCTCCTGATATACTCATAATTACTCATAATTGTGGACTTGTTGCTATGTATAACTGTCTGTTCAAAAGTGATTAATATGGTTATTGCTGATTTCTTTTGCATTACATACTAATTGGGATTCTCTAAAGATCAGCTTCTCTACTGATTTGTGAAAGAAATGTTTTCTCTACCATTCTGTTGTACCTTTTATCTGAATGCGAGGTCTAGATATATGCTCGAGTTGATTTATTAGGCTTGGAATTACTTCACCATGTTTTTTCCTTTTTGTCCAAAATTACTAGAAATCCTCTGCATTTGACCTGTCACGACAATATACTGTGCAGTCAAGGCAGGTTAACTTAACTGGTTCAATGGACCTGGGTTAGAACTTCCAGGTGCAAGGGCCAAATGCGGCCTTAGATTGACAATCTTAGTGATTGATTCTCCCTAGGGAGATAAATTCACGCATAGGGATTCATTGAGCTTCCTCCTTTAAAGATATATTTATATTGGAGGTAGTTCTTTGAGCTTGGTCTCTTGTTGCTCCTCTAGATCCTTGGCATGCTCTTAGCACCTAATTGGTAGTCTTGGAGTAACCTGTCTCTTTACCTATTTTTTCCACAACAAAAATACTCATCATGCATTTAGGAGGTAAAAATGGGTACTGCAGGTGGTCTGTTGCTGTTAACCTTTCCCTGCATAGAGCAATAGATTTTATTTGGTTGCAGAGTTTGATATCCATTACGTTCATACCTTTTCCTGTTCTGACGCCTCAAACTAATTATTGCAGATTACCAAATGCTCCTGATATGGAAATCTTTTCTTTATATGGGGTTGGCATACCAACTGAAAGAGCTTATGTTTACAAGTTATCTTCCTATGCTGAGTGTTACATTCCTTTTGAGATCGATACTTCAGCAGACGGGGATGATGAGGATAGCTGTCTGAAGGATGGAGTGTACACAGTTGATGGGGATGAGACAGTGCCTGCTCTAAGTGCAGGTTTCATGTGTGCTAAAGGTTGGCGTGGGAAAACCAGATTCAATCCTTATGGAATTCGTACTTACGTAAGGGAATATGATCATTCTCCTCCGGCCAACCTGCTCGAAGGCCGGGGCACGCAGAGTGGTGCTCATGTTGACATCATGGGAAATTTTGCATTGATTGAGGATATTATTAGGGTGGCTGCTGGGGCTACCGGAGAAGATCTGGGAGGTGATCAGGTATATTCAGATATCTTTAAGTGGTCTGAAAAAATTAAGTTGCCTCTGTAAAGGAAACAATTATGCATTATCTACTTCTCCAAAAGCTCAAAAGGACTTTCTTGATCATACACAATATACAAGTGGTATATTAAAAGCTTATGTGAGATCCTCTCCAACAAAAAAGGCGAGGAAGTGGCAAAATAAAGAGGGCAAAAAATTAAAAATTAAAAATTAAAAAGAGAAAGACAATGAACAGTAGAAACTACTCAATTCTTTGGAATTTTCTAAGAGTTGTCGGCTTGTGAATTCCACAAAGTGACGACAAACTGTGTCAGATGCAACTGATTTGATTGTTGTTGCTTGAATCATTTGTGCAACAAAACGAAACTTGTGTTTGGATGTCTGCAGGAGATTCTTGATATGTAACCTATTGATAATGTGCAACAAAATTATTTAAATAACGTTCATTTATATGTTGTTGTGTAGGAGCTTATGTAATTGTCTTATTATCCAAAAAAATCATGTATTATACGAAGTGTTTTTTTTTTTCTTAGTTATAATTTCGTGTTTTCCCTTTTCAACTTGTCTAACTGTAATCTTCAATGAATTTTGATTTATCTTTATTTGAAGAAAGGACTTATTTTGATTATTGGGGTGTTGCATAACGGACTTCTATTGACAACCTCAAAAATATTCCACAGAATTTTGACCAAATTGGTTGGGCAATTGATCAAGTAAACTGATTTAAACTTCCCGACGAGAACAAAGGACCAAAAAAGAAAGAAAAAAATCCACTTGACAGAAAAACAAGAATATATATTAAATTATTAATCATTATGTGAATTGCAGAATAGAGGAGATATGCCTACGAGGGATGATATTACATGGTAGCATGACAATGTAATGAAGAAATTGAACCATACCGGACTAATTATTATGAATTAAAAAGACAGAAGAAATAAATTTTATTTACAAGATTGGCCGAGGGGCCAAGAGAAACAAAGTGATACCTCGTTTCCCACATATAAATTTTAACATTCAATCTTTTAAAAACTGCCTAACATTTTAAATTGAAGGGAGTAATTTATTGTTGCTTTGCAATATTATCGAAATAATGTTCAGGTAATTGACTTATTATCCAAAAAAAAAATCATGTATTATACAAAGTAATATTTTTTCATCTTTCGTAATTGACTTATTATCCAAAAACTGATTTTGCGTTTGGCTTTTAAATTTAGCTAAACGTACCCTTCAATAAATTTTGATTTATGTTTAAGTGAAGTAATTGTGGGGCGTTGCATAAAACATTCCATAGGTTTGACGAATTTGCAGAATTTTAACTGACCTACCCGATGAGATCAACGAAAGACGGTGAAAAAGGAATTGCAAAATCCACATGAAGGAAACACAAGAATATGCGCGTGCAAAGTATTTCATTTCTATTTGTAAACTGCAGAATAGAGGGTTAATTACAATTTTAGACTGGTTCATTACAATTTCAACTGGGAAGAAAAAGCTTCACATCAGGTTGGGCTTTATAAACAGAGTCCGCGAAGCATGAAGGCAGTAGAACATGGATTAAAAAAAAAAAATCATATTGGGGGAACAAGATTAAAGATTTTTACTTCTTTCTTTTTTTTTTTTACCTCTTTCCTTTTTTGTTTTCTGAAATAGTTTGAAGACTTTAACGGAGTCTGAGAACGGAGGTGATGGAATGTTGAGAGTTTTCGTATGGATGTAACAGCATGTTTTGGGCTGAAGTCAAGTGATGAGAATAGAGAAGAGCCTTAGCACCTTGTCGGAGTCCACCAGATCGGCCGGCGACGGTGTGCCACATTTTATACATCTGTCCACATGCCATTTCAGCCCCTGACACACCTATTGCTCTAACCCTCCAACAAAGAAGCATACACCCCCTACGCCTCAGTTTCTCACTCGCTGCAAAAGGAAACCTCCATCATTTCCGGGTCTTCTGATACTAGGTGTTGCCGGCATTTCAGGTATGATATATCTATCCTATATTGGTAATCGGATATTTTCAGATTCGAATACTGATTTTTTTTGTTTATTCGGGTAGGTTTGGATAATGAGTGTTTCGGGCAGACACAAATAAGTGAAAAGAAGAGCTGTTGTCCTCCATTGCCATTCATTGACAGTGTTTGGTCATAATATGGTGGTTCAGACCCAAAGAGATGAACATGGTGGTCACTCCCCACGCTTTAGCCTCCAGAATTCGTTGAATCTGTTGCTGCTCGTTCTGTGTTCATTGTCAATGGATTCAAAGCCATCTTCATCGTCCTTATTCGCCGTCCTAAGAGGTATACTGATACAATAGCCTTTTTTGGGCCAAGATGTTATAGCCTTTTAGGTCTTACATTCCAACAAAGTTACATTGTTATTATGGCTCATGCCAATTTCTACTAGAGTCTTGCTGGTATGCTTCTTGAGGTTTCTGGTCATTCAGCCTGACCATCTGCTGAGAAATCAGGCATCCACATAATATTTAAAATTAATTTCCTAAAGGCTGGAAACCGTATTTAAAAGATATAGCAAACAAGAGGGTTTTAATATTTGTGTTTTTCACGTCCTTCATAATAGCGGGATGATTTTTTTTTTTTTTTATGTGAAGCTTAAATATTTTATTATTAGTTTCAAAGTATTGGGAAAATGAGTATATCCACATGCCCCAAAACCTTCAGGTTTTAGTTTTGGCGTCTTTCTTTTCTTAAACAAAAGAATTATAAGCCCATCCTAGATCTGAAATAGATTGTGAACCCTTAATTGTACGCTAAACAATAATTTAAAATTTCTAAACAACAAGGTGTAACACAACAATAATAAGAAGTCTCATTCCACCAAGTGGAGTTGGCTATATGTATTGCACTATGCCATTGTGTTCGATTATTTATCAAGCTTTTAAGAATGTTATTGATTTATGAGGTTTTGCACAATCAAGGTGTAACAACCTTTTCTCAAAATTTGTTTAATTGGATTACATGTGATTTATATTTGAAAAGTTATTTTTCTGATGGGTTGATGCAGAAATTCCTTGATAGAACATGTAAGCATGTTAGAAGTGCAAGTACCTATGAAACGCTAGAGTTGGTAAGGCAGGCAAATGAGTTTGGAGCAAAACCTATGAAGGCTGTTCTTTGTAATGCCCTTTGTTCATGTGCAAAAACCCTGAATTGGAACTTGGGAATACAAATCCATGCTTCTATGATTCGTTCTGGATATGAAGGTAATTTGATTCTCAGTAGTGCGCTTCTTAATTTCTATGCAAAATGCAATGCTATTGGGAATGCGATGAAAGTATTTAGTGGCATGAAAACACATGATCAAGTGTCTTGGACCTCACTTATTGCTGGATTCTCGCTAAATGGGCTGGGAAGAGATGCCTTGTTGTTATTTAAAGAAATGCTGCTGGATACCCAAACTAAGCCAAATTGTTTTACCTATACCACTGTTATAAGTGCATGTGTGGAGCAAAAGGAAGCCCTTAAACAGTGTCCAACTCTCCATGCTCATGTTATCAAACAAGGATTTAATACTAGCAATTTTGTGATAAGCTCTTTAATTGATTATTATGCAAAATGGGGCCAAATCGATGATGCTGTATTGTTATTTAATGAAACTCATCACTGGGACACTATTGTATATGCTTCAATAATCTGTGGGTATTCTCAGAATCAATATAATGAGGATGCACTTAAACTCTTTGCAGAAATGAGGAGAAAGAATTTAACTCCTTCTGATCATACTTTAAGTAGCATTTTGAATGCTTGTGGCAGCCTTACAGCACTCCTTCAAGGAAGACAATTGCACTCACTGATTATTAAAATAGGTTCAGAAAGCAATGTGTTTGTAGCCAGTGCTTTGATTGATATGTATTCAAAGAGTGGTGACATTGATGAGGCTCGCTTTGTGTTGGATCAGACTTCTGGAAAGAATGCTGTTCTATGGACTTCCATGATCATGGGTTATGCCCAATGTGGGAGAAGTTCAGAGGCTTTAGTGCTTTTTGATAGTCTGTTGACTGAAAAAAGATTCATTCCCGATCATGTTTGCTTTACTGCTGTTCTAACAGCTTGTAACCATGCAGGACTTCTTGACAAAGGGGTGGAGTACTTCAACCAAATGAGAACAAATTATGGGCTATCTCCTAGTCTAGATCACTATGCTTGCTTGATAGATCTTTATGCGAGAAATGGCAATCTAAGGAAGGCAAAGGCTCTAATGGAAGAAATGCCTTATGAACCAAATCATGTAATTTGGAGTTCCATCCTGAGTTCCTGCAAAATTCATGGAGAAGTAGAGCTTGGAAGGGAGGCTGCTGATCGGCTTATAAAGATGGAACCATGTAATGCAGCACCTTATATAACACTAGCACATCTCTATGCAAGAAATGGTTTATGGGCTGAAGCATCTGAAGTCAGAAGCCTAATGAAACAAAGGAGATTAAGGAAACATGCAGGATGGAGTTGGATATTGGTGGATTAGCAAGTTCATGTCTCTGCAGTTGGCAAACAAAATCAATGCAGAGCTAGAAAAGATTTACTTGGAAAAGATAGAGGTTTCATCCTGCTATTGTAGAGAGTGGCACAGTATTCAAGCCTAGAACTACTGTACTTCTCCTCAAAGGCACATATTATATATAGTGAAAAATTGAGATTTGTTTATTATCAGGTCAATGAATGCCATAACTTTGGCTTAAAAAGCAAATTAACAGGATGTCACTTCTCAAAAATGACATTGACTGCTGCATCTAATGGCTTCTTTGACATTGCTTGTTCCTTTTGGGTCTTATTGCGAACTCTCCAGCGTTTTCATTTGAACTTGCTATTTTTAGCTGCTTTTGGTTGAATTCTTCAGTTTCATGTTGTATTACATCCTCATGATGTGGTCAGAGCCTGCACCTTATGTTGCCTTCTCATCCCTTTACTCCCAGAGATCTTTCATTGCCAGAACCCTTGACTGTTGCTAGATTGCTATAATTGGCTATGAACAGAACAAATGAAGAAAATATCTCCAAGGAATGAGGTATTAACTTGCCATTTTTTTTTTCCTTCTATACCACATTTAAAATTTTGTAGTTATGAAGAAAAGAAAAAACAACAAATACTATTTTTTAAATGATGTCCATTGAATTTTTTCCCCATCCTCATCCCTTCATGTGTGTGAGAGACTTAGGAAGGTGACGAACTCAAAGCTAGCTCAATTTGTTAAGTTTTATTATGAATGTAGAAGTTGCTATAGTTGTTGGTGGTTATTATTTTTGCTATGATGGTTTGTTAGAATCTTACCTAGTTTGCAAGCTGACTCCTTACTTGAGAAGAGTTATGTGAGTTGATGATGAATTCTGTTTTCTAATTCTCTCACTTCTTATCATTGAATTCTCTCTTTACTCCTATCAATGGTATCAGCTATTAGTCCTATCATTATATAATCTCCTTCCTATATCAATGGTATCAGATATTGATACACTGACTGGCTGATGCCACACCCTTCCAAGCCTCTCAGTTTGAGATGCAGGATCAAGTTTAGCTATCGACAGAACAGATCTTGTCAACTATGGTAGACAATTAACTCTCCATCATTGAGCAATGTGGAGGTGGCAAACAGAATGTAAGCAACGAGATCTTTAAATGAGAAACCCAATGTTTATAGAAAGGAAGAATGTCAAAGGCAAGAAAATTAAAAATATCATACACCCTGCTGTTTCACGAAGATGGGGATTTTGTCAAGATGTTCTTGTTTGGCACAAGAAGTGTGAAACATACTTGTTGGATGAAACATCAGAAGAAATGATAATCATAATTACGAACCTGCATTTGTATGAAATGAGCTTCAGGTGGCTCGAGACATATGTAAAGAATCAAAGATGGTGTGTTTTACGGAAACATATATTGTGGCAATGAGATGCTTTAGATATGTGAAAGAAGACTAAGAGGAGGAAGGGAAGAAATTAAGGCAACAAGGCGGTGTGATTGAATACCAAGATCCATGTAATGATTTTGCCTGCCAGCTGAAGCTACCAGAATTTAGCTAATCATCTATTACATAGCTAGTTTAAAGAAAGAATGACATAGAAGAAAGTCAGATTATTTAGGCCCAGGACTGTGCTTGATGCCATGATATAATTGTGAAGTTACAGGAGCTTAGTTGTTCTTCAAGAAAGAATGGTGGCAAACGATTATTAATTGAATCCAAGGAAGGGGGGATTCTAGTGAGCAAGAGAAGGGGAAAGGGAGCATTCAAGTCGCAAAAAGTGCTTAATCCTGAAGAAATTCATGGGCACAGAGCAAACAACTTGTGCTACCTTCGCCATGAAAAACATACACAAGGCCTTGATTGCCCTCAAACGAGAAGATGCGGATCCATTTGTTGGAAATTGAAGATACTGTTCCGGAGAAAAAATTTGCGAGGACAAGTAAGGAAGCTTCAAATGCAGCTTGTTTCTACGCCGAAGTCTGCATTATTCTTGCTCTTACCACTGTCATAATGTAATCTTTTGACAATCTGATGGGATGATGGTTTTGCAGTTAAAATAATCGAAGACCAGGAATGCCAGAAAACAACTTAAAAGCTGGATCGTTTAATTTGGTTGACCTGACACCTGAGCGCGTTCATAATGTATGATAGTAACTAAAGTTCCTAGTTCCTATCCGGGATAATTAATGTGAAGAAATTTATGCGATATGGGAATTGGATAAACATAGACAAATGAGGAGTCGGCTTCCCTCCACTTTGCAAATCTAGACCAATAGAATAAATCTGATGATTTAGATTTGATAGTTTAGATTTACAGTGGATGTACAGTGGAGGGTAAGACGAAATAATTGTGGCCTCGAGTTTCATCCTTTAGTAATGTAGCGGAATGTTTTCACCACTGATATGTCTCTCTTTAACCCCTAATTTAATTTATACTTCACAACCTTTTTGTGTGAGGTTTCCAGGATACAATCAAGTCTGCAAGGTTAATTTTGATCATGAATTATTTTTAGAGAAAAAAAAAACTTGGGGATAATGAAATTTTTAGTCATGCAACTTTGATTCAGTTATCAATTTGGTTTTAAGTTTAATTTATATCAATTTGGCCTCTCATATTTCCTTAAATTATGTCAGTCTTTTAAGTTTCAATACATAAATTGACTTTCAAATTAATATAAGGGAAAATGATTAAAAAAAAAATTTCTGAAATATACAAATGATAATATGGTCTTTTGAAATGTTACAATTCTTGTAAAATTTTTAGGTATTTGTTGACATTAATGATTTTAAATTAAATAATTAAATTATCCTTTGTTTAAAATAAAAATAATAATGAGCTTATGTGGGACGTTGTAATCTTTTGTTTAATTTTTATGAGTCATAAAATAAAAATTATGATTATTTAAATAAAAGTCATAAAGTGGTTATTTTTAGAACTTGAAATTTAATGATAAAAAAAATCATGAGAAAAATTATAATTTCTTGTTTAATTATAGCGATTTACAAAAATAAAATTTATGATTGTTTAAATAAAAATTGTGATTGGTTATTTTCAAAACTTGAACTTTAATAATAAAAGAAATTTCATGTGAGAAATTGTGATTTTTTGTTCAATTTTTATGATTTACAAAATTAAAGTTAAAATTTTTTAAACAAAAGTTGTGATTAGGATTGATTGTTTTCAAGACTTGTTTATCAAGTATAAAAGAAATTTTACATAAAAAGTTATAATTTTTTATTTAATTTTTACGATTTATAAAACAAAAATTGTGATTGTTTAAGCAAAATTTGTGATTGAGATATTTTAAATATGGGGTAATTTAGTTATTTAACCTAAAATCATCAATGTTAAAAAAGTATACAAGGACTTTAAAGAAATCATGATATTTTGAAAGACCTGATTGTCATTTATATAACTCAGTAAAATTTTATTGTCATTTTTTTTAAATATAATTTGTAAAATTTGTTAATAACTTAACATACATATATAATTAAATGAAAACAAATTAGTCTTTAGATCAATTTAATTTTTGTCTTTTATGCTATATTCTATTTTTTATTTTATTTTATTCAAATTTTTGAATCTATTTTTGTTCAATTTAAATAAATATATTTTTATTAATTTATATTGTTATTATTAATATTTTATTATTCATAATTTCATATTTTAAAAATATTATTTTTTTAATTATTTACTTTTATATAAATAAAAATTTAATATAAAATTAGAGAACCAAGAGTATATTTCAAGCTTTTTCCTTTTAAACGATAAATACCAAATCGACAGTTGAGATAATTTGGGGGATCAATTGACTCTCTCCCCTGTGAGAGCTCTTGACTCTCTCTGCATTAGGTGTATGAGAGCTGTGTGACTATTGTTTTTTTCGGAGGTTCAGGTGGTGATTGAAAAGGTGATCGGAGTGTTATGGAGGCCAGTGAGAGTGATAGGGTGGAGAATTTCATTAAAGTTCCTTTAATTTGGAGGAACGATGTAGAAAAGAAGACTTTAGTTGGAAAAGTACTATGTACAAAGGAGGTCAATAAGCCGACCTTTAAATATATGGTGAGAAAGGCTTGGAATCTCTATGATGGTTTAGGCATCACAGATGTTGCTGTTAATGCCTATCTCTTCAAGTTTGAAGATGAAGATGAGCATAAGAGGATTTTGCAAGGTCATCCGTGGTCTATTAATGGCCAGCTGCTGAGTATATTGGAATGTGAGAAGCAAAAGGCAATTAAAGAATATGATTTTAGTTTGTGTCCAATATGGATACAAATTCATAGTGTTTCGTTTGGTGCGATGGATGTAGAGAATGCGATTCGTATTGGAGGATGTGTGGGTGAAGTAGTGATGGCTAAAGATCCTTACTATAAGGAGAGGTTAATTAGGGGATTCATGAGGATTCATGTCTTATTGAATTTAAGAAAGCCTTTGGTGATTGGATTTTAGATCTGGAGACTTGATGATGATCCAGTTTGGGCTTTTGTGAGGTATGAGAAGCTACAAAATTATTGTTTTTTTGTTGTGGTTGTATTAGGCATAAGCCTTGATTGTGTAAATCTGAACGCCTTATATCGATGGTAAACCCTAATGAACCGAGATATGGCCCATGGTTATCTACTGGACTTGTTCGGATTTGAGAGGAGGTTACTAAGGTGATAAAGAAGCGCATGTCTAAGCTAGAGTATAGAAAAAAGAAGAAAGAAGAGGAAGGGCGTAGGGATAAGAAGAAAGAGGAAGATGGGAGAATGAATCAGGTTGGACATGCTGATGCTGTTGATTTGTTTGTAATTAATATAAGCAAGAGTAAATATGTGAGAAATGTGGGAGGGAGTACTGGAGGAGATGGAAAAGGTGAAATCTCTAAGGCTAATATTAATATTTATAGAGGAATAAAGGGGGCTAAGAGAGGTCAAGATCTACAGGATTTTGGCAAGGGTTCTGTGGTGGGGGAGTCGAGTGGTTATAAGGATGTCAAAGGCATGTATATTGGGGATGGGAAGGAAAAATCATCTAGAGCTGCAAATAATGTTTCACAGCATGAAAAAACAGGTATTTTTGTTGATAATCTTGTTTGTAAGGCTATTGTTCCTTATATTGGTTCTCAAATGAAAGAGGTAGTGGAGAGAATTGGTAGATTAAATTTGAAGAGGAATATGTGGATGAATTGGAAGAAAGAAAAGGCAAAAGAAGAAGGACAGGTACTAATGCTACACTACTAGAGTTGAAGGGAGTGGTAAGGAAGGAGAATGTAAGAAAGGTTATGGCTAGAATGAGGAAAGAGGGGCA